AGAGAGAGAGAGAGAGAGAGAGAGAGAGAGAGATCACTGTGATACCTTTGTATACTTCTGTTTCCGCACAGTACAACATTTTAAAAATTAATGCTGTTTTGTAGGCTGATCTTTTATGCTGCAGTAGTATCTTATTATTTTTCTTGGGATTGATTACTGCATTTTACTTTATCCATATTTCTAAAACTACCTTATTTACATAAATTTTAAACACATTTGATACTGCTCTTACAGTATTCATGTACCTATAAATTGATATTCATATGTGTCATTTTATATGCCCTTGTGCGTAAATGTTGTATGTATTTTTAAGCCATTATAGTCTATTGATATGTCTTGTAAAAGCATTTAATGAGAATTGCAATTTATTAAAATGTGTCACCTAAATGATATGTATTATTATCATAATTGTTACTACTACTACTACTCTACTATCACTACTCCTCACCCTGTTGCTGCTGCTGCTGCTGCTGCTGCTGCTGCTGCTGCTGCTTTGTTGTAGCTATTGTTGCTACTGCTTTTGATGCGCTTGTCAGCCTTAGTGATTGTCTTGCATGAATTTAGCTGTTCTGCTCCAACAAACTCCAAACGTACAGCATTTAATTCCTAATAAATTATTAATGCTGCATTATCATGTACTGGGGGACATTTTAGTGGGTCTATATTCTTTCTCTTGTCTCCGTATTTCTTAGTTATTTTCAAGTTATTACACCGGTTGACCTATGACTTCTTGAGACTTTGTTAAGCAACGTTTTTAAAATTGTCCCTTAATTTTTAAAAAATAAAAAAATGGTTTTGTAAAGAAAATGAAATAGATTTGTGGAAATTAAAGTAAAAATAAACATAAAATAATAATCAATCAAGGAAGTATAGGTTTGCAAACTGATTATCTGCTTTTAAACCAATGCATGCTCCCCCATAAAATCGTAAGATATGCAGAGGTCATAGGTTTCCTGCATATTAACTATCGGCTCATCGCTATCGGCTGATGTTGACGATTCAACACGCATAGCGCACGCGTTGCAGTCAGCCGGCGCAGGACTACTTATTTCTCCTCTCACTGGGGTGTCATTCTAACAAGAGTGTTGTTCAACGTTTGGTGTGATACTCCAAGGCCAGCATCAGTTTTACTACTCAAAGCTTTTCCTGTTGTGGTGAGTTTCTGTCCTTTTGTTTCAAAGTCTTTTAGAAATAGATAGATCTAGAATCTACAAGGCCTACTAACGATACGGAAAAGCACAGGCACAGCTTGTTGTGGTCTGCTAGCGAACTGTTGGGCTGGGCTGGGACCAAGGAAGGGGCATAACGTGTAGGCCTAGCACAGAATTCTGTAAGGCCTTGTCAGCCTTGTGTAGACTACGGGCACGGGTCGATAACTCCGAACGAGAGTTAAATTCACGGAAGGAATGTTTAGCTTACTAGAAATCTAGATCTAGATCTAGATCTAGATCTAGAATCTAGTCTAGATCTAGATCTATCTATAGGCCTAGGCCTAGTATAGCCTAGCTCGGTAAGATTGAATAATACCGGACCAGCGGACTGACTTTGCCTATGTCTCAACTTTAGGAATTCATAATTTTCCCGTTTTTAATATCTCTCAATGAAGAATCTCGGACCCCGGTAGTCTATCTAGATTTATTCATTAAAATTTTGTCAGGGGGGTCA